CTTCCCTGAGAGTCCCACTCCTACATGATGAAGGCCCGTGATGAGGCCCTCCGCCGTGGGTTCTCCAGCCGCCGGTACCATCTGATTTTTCCGCAAGACAGCGAGAGCTTCGTCCATGGTCTGAATCTTGTCCACCGCTGCCGTAAAGGTGGCTGTAGCCGGTGTGGACCGCAGTTGCTTGGTAGGCGGTGCGCCTGTCGCTACAGTTGTCGATGTCTTTCTTGTCTGCGAGGCGGTTTGTGGCGATGCTGCCGGTCCTCGCCTGGTAGCGTCCTGGGGCATCCTACTGTCCGTATGTATTGCTGCTGTTTCATGTACGCTATAGGCCGTCGCCCAGAGGGATAACTGACCGCACGACGTAGCCCGCTCCTATTGGCTGACGATCGTGGGAAAGTTGCCGTAGGTGGTGGTACGAGTGAAAGGAGCTCTCCCGGCCAAGCGTACATTCAAAGGCAAAAGCTTGCGCATCACTCATGTTGCTGGTGATACGACCTGGGCTTACAGAAAATACTAAAACCATGATGTCAGCATACCATCGAAGTTAAGTGGATTGAGACGAATCTCTTGCACAGACTGCAACGATGGTACCTCCGCCTTGCTTCATAGGACAAGGCAGCTAATACAAGGGATCTCGAACGACATCGGGCATCGACGTCCTACAAATAATCAGTCATGATAGAACGCATCGAAGTCCCACTCCTTCCTCTCCTCCCCCTCGCGCATCCACCCCACCCGTTCCAGAGCCAAGCCCGCCGTGCGCACGAACAGCGACCCGTCCAGCCTCTCTGCGCCCTCCAGCTCGACGCCCAGCTCCTTCAAGCGCCCCGCAGGCGTGGTCCCGTACAGCGCCGCGAAGTGCGCGAGCGACCGCTGCAGCTTGCACAGGTGGTCGTCGGGGTGCATGAGCGTGCTCTGCACGATCGCGAGCCACGCGTTCGGGGTCGTGTTCTCTGGGTCGAGCGTCCCGTCCACAGGCTCCGTCGTGGTGTCGGCAGGAGGGGCCGGCGTGGGCGTAACGGTGTCATAAAACTCGGCGATTGGTAGGGGAGGGCGGCCGCGCGCGACGTAGAGGGCGAGCGTGTTGAGGAGATACGTGCGGAGAAGGATGTTGACCGACGTCGGAGAGAGGTACGCGGCCAGCGACGGGAGGAATAGAACGGACGTGACAAGATGCATGCTGAGGGGACGGCGTGAGTTATAAGGATATTTGAGCGAGTTGAGATGCTCCGCTTACAGGAAGAAATCGCCGTTGAACTTGCCGTTCTTCGTCTTCTTCCTCCCCCAGAAGCCGCCCACTCCGAAGATGGTGGTGTTCGTCCAGAACAACTCCTCGATCTTGTTTGCCACGTCTTGCGCGTTCGTTCCGTCCACGGTCCAGTCCTTCATCAGCTCAGCGAGTGCCTCACCTCGCAAGTGAAGGACGCGCTCAAGAGAGGTATCCTCCTCGCTGTTCTTCGGAGGCGGGAGAGCGATGGTCTTGTACGAATAGTAGTCGTCCTTGAGGATGCGCGACACGAGAGAGAGCGCATGAACGCTCGAAGTCCTCCGCGTCTGTGTCGGCAGGACGGCGCTTCGGAACTGATCGAGAACAAGTGAAGGAAGGAGAGACGTAATACGGGAGACAGTCGCGTTCCCGACATCCGAGCCAACCGCTTCGGCGTACTTCCAGAGAGTACGGGGAGTGAGTGTAGCGGCAGTCGTTCGATGCACGGCGGTTTCGGCCAGCCCTGCGCAGACATTAGTCTACTACCACATGCGACGGAAGACTACGCATAACGCACCTTCCGCGAACATGCCAGGAAGTCCGAATTCAGCACCATATCCAGTGTGAATGAGAGGGTGCAAGAGGCCCGAGAACAGCCTGTTCGTCATCTCCATCGGGGACTGCCCGGATTTCGGAGGGTCGATATTGGCCTTCGGTGAGAAGATATATTCTTCAAGAGTAGCGGCTGCCCCCTTTTCGGACAGTACCTTTGAAAAGAACTGGAGGTACGCCCGGTAGTATCTGTGAGGCAGAATATCAGTATCAAGCACTGTCGACTCCTACCCTCACTTACTCTTCCTTGCCAAGATGTTCGTGGAAGTTTTCTGTGGTGATAGGACCAGGAGAATCGAACTGCTTGCGCTGGTACTTGGTGTGCTCCTTGTACGCTGCCTCGATCAGGGACCCATTTGCACCGAGCTGGTAAATGGCGAGAAGCTGATGGGAAGCGTGACTACATGCTTTGTTCAACCTGAGAGGACTATCTGCGCACAGGAAAGACTCACTTGTGGAAACGCTGCGTGTTAAAGAATATATGCCATTTGACATGGTTATCCTTCAACGTCCTCTGCAGGGCAACGACCGCTTCAGGCGAGCTCCCTGGGAAGCGCGCAGGCGCCTGGAACGACGGCGCCTGGGCCGGTATGGGGAACAGTCTTTTCAGAGCTGCTTCATCTGCGACCTGCTGAGGCATTGAGTGCAATGACCGAGGTAAACAAAGGTGTGGGGAGGGAGAAAGCAGAGGGAGGGCTCGGCCTAATCGCAGCTTGGCCATTGGTCATATAGGGATCCAGGTCGATTCCGATGACGTCAATCGCGAGCAGCTGAGAGACCACCTGGACGAGTGCCTAGCACTCAATGACCGACTGTCAGCCTTCCTGTCCTGTTCAGATGAAACCAAGAGAGGACTTACGTTACTTTTCGAAGCCCTCACCCGTGAACGTTTGAACGTTGGATGAACGTGGTCGGTGGCAATAGGCAAGGAAGCGACTAGCTCAAGTTTCCACAACGCACACGGGGATTAGTCTTCGGCGAAACGCTCCCCAATCTCGGAGCACCTGTCAGATGACACCACAAGAGCTTAGAAAGCGACATAAACAAGTGTGGCGTACCGACAAGTAGTTACGGAGTTCTGCCCCGGGATCCGAAGAGCTTCATGGAGCAAGCACGAGGGTGCTCTAAACCGTGAAATATTACACAGTGCGTCTAGCAACCCGCAGCATGCTACCTGCGGTCCATGTTGATCGCAGAACCGCACGAGCCCCAGGCGCAGCGTAGCAAAGAGGAGAGGGTTTGTGGACATAGTATAGGACTAATTGGCGGTCCTGGGGCAATGCGCGTTTGTTAGCGAGGAATTGAGACATTAAAGCTGAACCACGACCGAACTCGATTGAGCGATATGCAAGACGCGAACAAAAACCGGATGTGTGCTCACGACTCGGAGGACAGTGTGCTAGATAGACCCTCTCTCATACCATTAGCCCCTCCACTGGCAGGCCCAGAAACACGTAGCAGTTATGCTACTAGAACTACGTTGTCGGTGATGAATCCATCCAATAGCATCCCCAATATAAAGGCAGGAGATTAAGGAGCGGTTTGCGATGAGATGTGTGTGTGTGTGTGTGTGACTGTGAGCGGAAGAACCCGACCGAGTCGGAGTAGAGCAGTTGGCAGGAGGAATTTTGATGTCATTATATTTATATTACCGCTGCAAGCAGCTTGGATGGCTCAGTTGGTTAGAGCGCAGGTCTCATACAAAAGTATGACCGCCTTCGGGTGGGCAATCCTGAGGTCGTGAGTTCGATCCTCACTCCGAGCAATGATAGGGTTCTTTTATGTCTCTTTTTCAGTCCATAGCCAGCCGTGCCGTGTTCCCGACACTGTAGAGCATTCGCCTTGCCCTTGAGATCGAAGTGCATGACCTCCTAGCAATCTACTTGATATGCAATCGAGAATGGCTCTCCTTGTCAAGTCGACGACGTCATATGCGATGCAGGGATGATGAATAGATAAAAGGCAGGTGTGTACCAGTCACATACATAATCACCATTAGACAATAGCATATGCAGCGGACCAGTACACGGTGATTGATCCAAGTCCGCATCTAGGATACCGCAGCGTCTATGCCTTCTCCAAGCCCAGGACACGCCTACCCAGGTCTTCGACCTTACGTTGAATGACAGCCGTCACCGCACTCCTCACTCTCGCGATCTCGGTCGCTCGCTGAGGATTCTGCGTCTGAGTGCCCGTCACGCTGTTCATCGCTTGTGCAACGGGAGTGCCTAGCCATCCTTGTCCGGCCACAGAAGCGCTGCGGAGCTCTTCTTCAGGTCGCGACGGGTCGGCCAATCCCCCGGAGGCGCTTTTCGGATGCTCGGGAATGCGCTTCTCCTGGACGAGCGTCGCGAGCGTGTCCTGTACCGCTTGCGCAGGGACGGGCTCTCCGAACGTGACGCTGAGAGCCGCACCGGGTTTGGGGAGGTAGTTGTACGGAAAGGAACGACCTTCCGGCATGAGCTTGTCGAAGCCTAGGGAGGGTCGGTCAGTGCGGTTTCCAATAATAGTCTCAGGGTTGATTGAACAGACCCGTCAGCCACATAGGTACGATGACAGGCGGCCTTTGTGCCTCCATCATGATACGCCCGCTGCATTGTATGAGTGGCTTCAGTAGGTGTGACATAGCTGTGAAAACTTGACGCACATTCCCCACTTGAACCGTATGAGCTTGCCCGCATTGGGCTTGGTGATGTCATTCGAGTCTTGGTTCACCTTGCCCTCGCCGAACAGGTGTATCTAGAGAGCATCACGGTGAGTATGTGCGACGCTCTCGGAATGTCGCGCATGCACGCACCCACTCTCCGCGGTTCAGCTTTTGAATGGCGTCATCGATGGCGGGCTGGAATATGCCCTTGCCGCGGAAAGTCTCTATGACTTGACCGTAGCGGAAGAAGGTGGAGAATACACTGTCTGGCAAGCACAAACCGTCACCCCGCCGATGAGCACACAACTTAGCACACGGCATTTCCCCGCAGGAGAGGGACGTACGGATTCGTGAACATGATGTCTGCGGCGCCTAGTGTCCACCGCGTCCTCCGCGAGTCTCGGTAGAAGCGTGCAGGAAGGACCCCCCAGACTACGGGATCGTCTAGGCTGAAACACCGGTTGAGCTCGGCAAAAGCGACGGCTCCCTCAAGGCATATGGCTCACGTAGATATATGGTTCGACACTGACGTGGGCAAGGTTTGAGGATGCGCAGATTGCAGTCACCAGGGATGCAGACGTACTGGTGACTATTCCCCTTCCGCGATCCCGCTCCTCATCCTCCAAAGCCTTCAACAGGTTCTCCAGCCCATTGACGGTGACCGACGAGCAGAAACCGAGGTTCAGGAGCGCCTTGCTGCCCAACCCAACCGTACTGACCGTCACCTTCGAGAGGAGGCCCATCCGCCTGCCCTCGCTAGCACCCCACCGGAATATGATTAAAGCTTACGAGGAACAGCGGAATGAGAAGCGAGATAGCCGTAGGTCCGGGAGCACGGTGGATGGTGAGTAAGAGCCGTGACGCCTCTCATCCGTCTCCGCCGAAGTCGGACACGCGACGCGCTGGATAGGCGCCGAATAGCATGTACGGAATGAGGACTTGAACATCCTGTAACAGACTCAAACGAAAAGCGGTAAGCTGGACTGCTGCGATTGCGAGCGGGTTTTGCGTCTCACTCATTCACAGTGTATACCTGTGTAGCCGATGCAGCCTGTAAAGTTATAATGCACGCGTCGGGGGAGCTAGAAGTAGGAGGAATAAATGCATGACCGTTCAACCGTATGGGTGGTATTTACATGTAGCTGTGGTGCGAGACGAGGTGGTAGCGAGGTGGAAAATGATCCTACTACTAGTATCGGCCACACATAATTTCGCTCTTCACCAATTTCAAGGGATCTCCAATGCCCCGAAGAGCGTTGCTCAACCTCGGTTACTACTCATTCAACCTTACTGACTATCACCTTTGAGAGAAAACCCATCCGCTACCCTTGCTAGCACTCTACATAGTACGTATCAGAGCTGCAGAAAAACGATAGACTGAGAAGCTGAATATATGAGGCCCGAGCCTGAGACCGCGGCAGGCGACGGGCGAGAGCGGACCACTAGCACGCGTCTCTGCCGAATAGTGTTGCCGCCAAGCCGGGCCGGCTTATCCAGCTAGCTCAGCTTGTCAACTAGACGCCCAGCTTGTTGCAAGAAGCTAAGCTAAGCCGAAACGCCTAGAAACGAGCTGATCGTCAGCTCGTTTTCAAGCCAGCTCGCGGGCTAGCTCCATTGATGATGTCATAATTACCAAAGTTGGTATCTCGTAGGACCGGGAGGTCCCGGGACAGCCGCGACTTCAATTACTTCGAGATGCTTGGCTGCCATGGTATGGCCTGGTAATTCCTGGATGGATGTGTTGACTCCTCACGAGTCATGCCTTGAGCACAGCGGTAATCCTCATAATATCAAAGGCAGCAGTCACCCTCGGCACAGAACAGCCTGGGAATGTGCGCTACAATGCTGCTGGCGAGCAAGATTATAGACTCTCGTGTAT